CCTCTCTGAAGCAACCTGTCTCGAGTGCGGGCCATCTGTACATAGTTATCGCTGTGCTCACACAGATGGCCGCCAAACGCTTTCAAAGTTGCTCCGTCCGCACATCTAACCTTACAAAGCAAACTAATTAGCAGTAAACGCATTGCGAGGAAGAAGTCGTTTGAACATGTTTTTTTTTTTTTTTTTTGGACTGGGGTCTAATGAGGAAAGAGAGCATGCAAGCTCTAGGTGCCGGAGGTTGTTTCTGGAGCTAAAGGTTTACGGTCTTCTTTAAGACTCAAATAAAAACTAGAGGCTACCTTGAGCCACAGCTTCTGTCCCTGCGCATATAAGCTTTTTTATGAGAAGCATTGGAGGGCACAAGGTGGAGCAGGTAAGATCCTAAAGTGGGAGTGTTAAAGTGTGCAAGTAGGCAGGGGGAGGATAAGGCCTAAACACTGTTTTAGTAACTGCAAGGTCAATGAAAATCCCCAAAAATAGGTAAGCTGATCAGCATTGGCTACAAGCACACATCCTATTTAAAAAGGGAAATATATATATATAACTTATAATGTTCTGGAAAGGTTCTTTCAAAAATATGAAGAAACAATCTTCCACTACATTAAACGATGATACAAAAACGTTATTTATACTTTTTTTTTTTTTTTTCAGGGGTTTGAACATCTGTCTAAAGTTTTTTACATTTATTCATTTAGCTGACGCTAATATCCAAAGCGACTTACAATTGCTATATATGTCAGAGGTCGCATGCCTCTAGAGCAACTAGGGGTTAAGTGTCTTGCTCAGGGACACATTGGTGTCTCACAACCCCCTTTCACACAGTGCGTTGATCCCGGGAAATTGCTGGCAAATTGCCAGAACGCCTTCTATGTGAATGCAAACACGACCCGGGATTGATACTGGCATCAATGCCGGGTTGGGGACCTAGTAACATCGCCGGAATCAGTCCCGAAACACGCGCTGTGTGAACAAAAGCCAGGACCAATGCCGTAAGGGGTGTGTCATAGTGATGACGCTCGTGCCATTGTGCGACTCTGTTGCTCTAGAAGAAAGTTCGTGTTCGTCATCAACAAAGAAAGGACGAACAAATGTCTGCAAACTGGAACGAAGCACAGAGCAGGAGCTCCTCTCTATCCGTGCTGAAGCTGAGATCGTTCACCAGCTTTGTTGAACGGTATGCACGTGTACATGTTTTAGACGCGTACGTTACACGTCTCATCCTGACGTCATGTGTCTTTCCGGGATCTTTACGGGCTGAGTGTGAACGCACTCACAGATCCCGGCAAATCACTGGCAGTGTGAATTAACTGAAACCAAACAATCCTGGGACAAATGCCGGGTCACATTATCCGTGTATTTTCCGAAATCTCTGTGTGAAAGGGGCTACAGTGGATTGGAACCTGGGTCTCTCACACCAAAGGCATGTGTCTAATCCACTGCGCCATCACCACCCTTATTCATTTTTTATTTTTATTTATTTTATTTTTTTGTTAAGGGTGCATAGCGCAAGTATCTGAGTTTTCGCAGAACTACACCCCCTCTGGTGACAAGCGAAACTGCAACCAGAGGTGTGCACGCTCATGGACCACACACATACGCACGCTTGCACGAGCTGTTCATGACCAAGGGAGCATCAGCTGCACAAATCTTGTGTTACAGTCATAATGTCTTCAGAGGTGATAAAATTATAAATCTGCAAGTCATTTTAAATATATGAAAGGAAAGGCATTTGAGTAAATTACACACTTATGTGTGTGTGAAGGGAAAACGTGGGTAGTAGAAAACTTCGTTTTTTGTTTCCATCTATCTTCATGTTGAACTGTTTTATGTGTTTACTGTATCCACTTATGATTGTATTATTATGGAAACAAATTCATGAACAATATACAGTAAGTTATTACTTTGTATAGGATCCCGTTTGAGCCCATGAGGTGACCGGAGATCTCTCCATTTATTGAAAGCCTTCCCGATGTTGACTCTCGTCTTATTCCGACTCCTGACACTAGACAAAAGTTGTATTGTCTTTCTTACGTAAAGTTTGCGTTGGGGTTTGGGATGAACTACAAGCCGGTCTCTTTGAATCCATCTTCTACTTTTGTCGAAGGTTGACTAAAGTTGTGTCGCTCGAGTTGTCTTCTCTGATACGGAGAATGGCGGCGAATGCACAAACCTGCCAGACATAGCCAGGAGTGCGTGAACGAGCATGACGTCACGCTCAGTCTCAAATTCGAGCCCGAATCCCTCTCATTTATTTTACTGTACAGGATTATAGAGGCAATCGCAGTGATCAGAGAAGGGCTCATTCAGCCCATCAGGCAATTGTTTAAGCATGTTTAGAAAAACGGCTATTTTTAACATGAAATGTTTCATAATGCACCTTTAAATTTGAGTCCCATAAAACGTTTTTAAAACATTGCATGTTCAAACAACCTTTAGAAATTATTTTTTTCATACAGTAACTTAATGGTTACATTCTTAGAAGTTCTGTGATGAGTTATTATTAAGCAATGAGTACAAAATGTTTAGTGGCATTCTCTGAGACCTTTACATGTATGTGACTGTTTTGTTTGCATTTGTGATGTTTTTGTCTTTCATCAGAATACCGCTTTTTTTTTTCCTCAGGAACTCAATTTACAGAAAGGAGGACGACTCCTTAGAAAGCTAATTAGCTAGCGCAGTACGTGGGCTAAGAGGAAATGTGAAACAAGCCTGCTGCCAAACGTAATATTATTTTCATTATTTCCTTCATTATTTATTTATGGATGTGTTCAGACTTAAATTAATGCTAGAAATCCTGGTGCGAGTCGCTGGCAGCTCTGGCGGGTCCGGTGGTGCAGTTAGTTAGCATGCACGCACACATAGTTCCCCGACACCAAATAAAATTACAGTGTGTGTTTCCTGTCCAATTCAATTCAGCTCCATCTTTATAGTTTCAGGGGCAAACAAACCTGTCAACAGCTATTGTGGTTTGAAGAAGCAATGCCGCCAATGTTTACATTAGCATGTGACGTATACAAAGCAAAAATCTTGACGTTAATGCTTATACTGGTGGTTTCTAAATGATGGCATCACATTACCCTTCACGCAGACAAGATTCTCTTGTCTAACCCAACATGTGGCCATTTTAGCAGCTAGAAAAAGATCACCCCGGGCTTTCAGCAGAGGCACATTTCCAAAACATATTTCTTTTCCCGTTTTCAACCAGACATTTCTGATAAAAGTATCTTAGAGGCTACAGGGAGTGCTGGTTATTCTCTTGACATATTATTTTTCAGTTATTATATGAATTTCCCCCCTTTCACCACATTGAGAAAATTGAGAACGTATGGTGTGCAACTTTGTTCCTTGTTCTTTGAGGATCCATTTTGGGAGAGGGGGTGAAGGGTTGGGTGCTGTAGCAGGATAGATAAACACAGAAAAATGGTCTCAGCATGTCAATTTGGTGTTTTTACATTGACCATAAGTGAGGCGTTCCTTCCTGCTCACATCTCAAAGAGCAAGCCCCGCAGCCATGTGTAGGCAATCATGACAGATATGTTCTCTCGCCACATTTCCCTTGTCGCGCTGCGCGGGGCTTCGGCGAGGGGCACGGTAAACGCTAACACGTTGCGGAGTTGGAAATCCTCATGAGCTTGTCTCATTAGCGGCTAATTGGAACGACTTTCCTCTGTCTTTTGTTCAACGTCACATTTGTCTTTCTTCTTTTTTTCCTCCACTGAACAGGGGGCAGATGGGGGTGGAGGATGCATATTTCTGAGCCTACAAGATTTAGCAAGGGAGCTGGGCCCGTATTACTGCAACATAAACACTGCTGTCCCGCGATTAACCTTAGAAAGCGACTGAGTGCAAAATTAAGCACTCAAAACTGCACAACCAAATTAGCTCTAGAGATGGAAGAGAGAACCTCTCCACTCTGCCATTGACTTTTCCCAACTGGGTAATACTAAAGAAAACAATAACATTGCCAAATGGCGAACCACTATTACAGTTTCCATTTGAGCTTGACTGCAGGCTGCAATGGCCCATTGAATCTGTTGCATAAATTTGGCTGGGTTACCACTCAAAGAAGTCTTAAGAGACATTTCAGATTGTGTAAACCTTGAAGAAAGTCTCGGCATGGGATCGGAATCAAAAATAAGAAAGATTTACATTTTATGGTTAGTCTTCTACTTAAGTTCGCATGTTGGATTTAAAACAAATTCGATATCTCTGATTGTCTTTTATGGTTACATTTAGTTTGAAAATCTTTGATTTTTCTAGGCTACTTTCACTGGCACAAGTTACACTGATCTTGATTTATGATGGAGATTTTGATGATATTTTATCATTTAATATGGCACAAGGGTAATTTGTTATTCCAAAAGACCTCTTAAGAATAAAGGTTCTTTATTGGTATGGATCGTTCCCATGAAGGACCTTTAAAATCCATGGAACCTTTTCATTGCAAAAAAAAAAAAAAAAAAAAGTTTTGTTATAGTGGGAAAAGGTTATTTAGATCATTGAAGGGTTCTTTACACTATTAAAAGTGTTTTTTGAAGAAATGTTCACTGAAAGGTTTTTGGGGTGAACTTTGGAAAATAATTATTCTATGGCATCTCTGCAAAAAAGAAAAATAGACAAAAAAACATAATTTTTAAGAGTGAGGAACAAATGTGGAAACGTTTGTCACACCTTGTGTTGTTTCTGTGTGTGGCTCTACATCGCAAAGAGGACATTTTCATAGAAGTCGTAAAGACACAGCAACAAAAAGTGTTTATGTAATGAAATGACACAAGTCGTGAAAAACATTAAGCTGACTGTTTGGTGTTACAAAATTAGACCTAAATCATCTCATTTGTTTTACTCAACAGTATAGGATTACAAAGTGCACTCAAATCATGTTTAGCAAGGGTGCTATACAAATGAATTAAGCAGATTTTAACGATGCCAGCAGGGCAATTATTTTTTAGCTGAAACCTGAAAACGAGGAACCATGGTTATAATTACCTGCATGCCGTGAAAACTGAGGTCAGGAACTTTGACCTTGTGGTCTTTACTGCTTTCCAACAACAGGAAAACGAGAAAACTTCAGCTCAAGAGCCTCAGGCTAAAGAAAAAGAAATAAAAACCAAAGGAAAAAAAATGAAATCAAAGGACAAGAAATAAACCCTATTGCCCTCTTCTATTAAAAAGGGCCATATTTATGATACACTCAAAGCCTTTTTAAGCTGAGATTGGAAGGACTCTTGGGGGTGATGGGAATGTGGAGGTTGCACATGTCTGAAACTCTGGCCTGCTGCATCACAGGTTTTTGCTAAAGTGGTCCTGACATTGACCTCTCTAAGACCCAGTTATCGCAAGAGTCCTAAAATGTTATTAACCTGGTAATGCTTCCCTCAAAGAAGGTGCAGCTGCAAAAGCCACGTCCAAACCTCTACTACAGGGCCACAAACCATGAACATATTTACACATGTAGTCTTTACTAGAGAATCAAGCTCAAAGTGTTACTGATTGTAAAATGCCTTTCCACTTACGGTATCTGAGTCATATGGAAGCATACATGTTCATAATGTGAAGTTTATTAATAAAGCTTGCCTCAGGCCCATTCGTGTTGCGCATCTTTACTACATTAATATGACGCTAAATAACAAATCATAACGTAGAGGCACCACAAGCTTTCTTCACACAGTTCATCTGTGACAACATCAATGAAGAATAGGATATTTCATCACAGCTTGCACTGATTGTACCGTTTTGCAGAAATGCGATCTATCCATCTAGATAAAACAATGAATGTCAATATTATCATTACATCGTGATTTCATATATCCTCTACTCTGTAATAATCCATCTACACTGTGAAAAACAATGTGTAGATCAGTGTTTTCCAACTTTTTTATATACTCCACACATATAAGCCAGTCAAGCTCAAGCACCACTGACACAGACAGACAGACAGATAGATAGCTAGATAGATAGACAGATGATAGATAGATAGATAGATAGATAGATAGATAGATAGATAGATAGATAGATAGATAGATAGATAGATAGATAGATAGATAGATAGATAGATAGATAGATAGATAGATAGATAGATAGATAGATAGATAGATAGATAGATAGATAGATAGATAGATAGATAGATACATAGATAGATTCATGAAACCAGAAAGTTTCTTTGTCAATATGAAATTATTCACAATGTTTTTTATGGTAGAACTTAATTATTAATGCTCAACAAATATATCACTAACGAACCAAAAACCCCGGAACAAATTTGAATCGCCCTGTTTGGGAATCACTGGCTTAGACAATTGTATTGTAGAAAACTTTGTTGATGAAATCAGAATATTCTTTTCACCAGCAGTGTAGACACAGCGATAGTTTAGGAGTGGTGTATGGTGTGTGTGTGTGTGTGTGTGTGTGTGTGTGGGTGGGTGGGAGTGTTTGTGCTGATTGTGTTGAGCGTGCACGGTGCCCATGAGGAAGCTCATCTGTTACTGTGCGTCTGCATGGCTTGTGCCACTGAGGGCGGATGACAGGGTGTCAGAGTAGCAGACAATGATGGATGCACCACATTCAGTAGGCAACTTGGGCAATTGGACACATTAACAAGAGGCACCTGCTTTCCCCTCCGTACAAATCTATTAAAAGATAACAGCAATGGCAGATCCCACTCAACTAGTAAATGATAACTTTGTCTGCACTGTGAGGAGAGGAGATCCTCGAAAAACACAGGCCTAAACCATTGCATTGCTGGTCAAACAGTGCCATCTAGTGTTTAGGGAGAACTAAACACTAGATGACCAAAAAGACTAATATTTTACTGTGGGCTACTTATTTGATCACTATTGCTTATTGTGGCTAGTTGTCACACCTTTCAGATTATTGAATTTTATTTGATTTATTTATAAATCCATTTTTACAGTATACTTATGTATGGCTATATATACACAATACAAAATGTAGTCTATTGCTGCATAAAAATGACATAATACAAGTTGTAGTTTGTATATCTGATCTATTACATTACAAATTTTAGGCAATATATCTGACTACTTTTGATTGCTTTAGATTACTTTTGACCTAACTTGTTTATAACATCGATTTGAGTATAGTATAATCATGTTATATTGATAAAGTACCATTGATAAACAATACAAAGAGAAAGAACAATATTTCATTTTTGCTGTTAACAACGTGAAGTGCATTAAACAATAGGCTACATTATGCTAACTAACACTGATCAATGAATTCTGAATAATTTACTGCAATTTTATAAATATTTAAGTTATCATGTCATCAATATAAAAGTAACTGTAATCGTATTATGAGTGTTTTAAAACGAAATATAATCTAATTATAAGGATTTCATTTTTGGGAATATTACATATATTACATTAATATATATATATATATATATATATATATATATATATATATATATATCACGTCTTATCTGCTTGAGTGCCTTTTTTGCAAAATATAAACTATATTTTGCCCAAGTTTAATTTACTAAATGTGACTATAAAGCATGACATGATTATACCAGTGGACAAATGTCATGTTTAAAACAAAATATTTACATATTTGAATTATAATGCTCATTAAATACAGATGTATTGGTTCTGGAAGATTAAACTGTATATAAAAACAGATATTTTAATGAAATATTATACATTTTTATTTATATTTATCACTATGAACACAAAAATGGAGTGTCACGTCAACCACCCATATATATATATGGGTGGTTGACGTGACGCTCAATATTGTGAATACTATTCTCTGCTTTGAAACAGTGCATATTGTGAAAGTGCTATACAAATTTGTTTTTTGGCTTGACTATTGAACATTTCCACTATTGTTAGAACAAGAGGTTAGTTAATATAAACCATACCTTTTGTGACAAATGAAAATTTCATTTTGAGGGCATGGTTTACAATAGTAAAACCACTGTTAGTCAAAACTCTGTGACAACTAGCCCCAGTCTCCTCTTGACTATATGAAACCAATGTGTTGCATTTCGCAAGCTGTAAGTGTGATTGTGATCCATTTTAATAAAGTCAGACATACCTCAATCAAAATTGCTGATTATAGAGATTCAGGACAACAAACACACACACTTTCATGTGGTTTAGTGGGTAAACAATAACGTGTCAAGCAAGACTCAACCTGCCTCAAGAGACAAGTGTGAGACTGATGCGACAAAGAGCCTCAAGGCAAATTTTAATGATGGATTGAGAATCATTATCCTTCTGATGGTGATGTGAGTGGCAAAAGACATTTCTTGTGGACATGTGTGGTCTGTGCTTGATGATTGGCTTGATTTTTTTTTTTTCTACTATAAGTCTGAGAAACTAGGCTAATGGGTTTCTGTAAGTGTACTCAATCCTCTGCGCTCCTGTGAATATGGGGATTCGTTTGATAGACAATCAGACGCAGTTGTTGCTCTCACTCAATGGAATGAATGAATTAGAATCGAAGAATAATGACAAAAGATGTGCTACAATATAGAGCCATGTGGTGGTTTCATCTGTTAAATCTTTAGTAATTTCATAAATTAATTAATTAAAAGAATGGTGTACATAATAAATAAATTAAATAAAGATGATCATGCTTGCAAAAGTATACACACTACAGTGCTACACTAATGAACAGCTGAACAGATTACATTTTAATTATTTAATTATCCATTAACAAAATGGATGTGAACAAAATGTAGTGCATTTACTTGCTAGCAAAGGCAGCTTTATCACATTAAGTAGAAAAGATTCACAACACGAGTGGGCCTGAGGCAAGCTTTATTAATAAACTTCACATCATGAACATGCATGATTCTTGTTAACAAAGATAATGACAATATTTTTATTTTACAAGTAGATTTATATTAAATTGTGTGTTGTGATGATGCATTAATAAAAGTTAACAACAACAATAATAATAATAATAATAATTGTTATTAAGATCTGGAAATATTAATTAAGTCAATAATAATATAATAATAACTATTAATATTATCACTACTACATCTGTGACTTAGAATTTTAAAATACATTAAAATTAGACTATGTGCAAGAAGATTCCATTTTCCTTTTCATTACATGACCTGAAGTATTTCATTATTTTATTATTTCTTGATCAAAAGGGAGGTTTTGATTTGTCTGCTGCTGCTTGTTGTGAATCATTCTTTATTTTGGTGATAATAAAGAGAACATAAAGTCAATGCATTCTGTATTAACATGCAGCAAAGCTAGTGCATCCTTTAACTGTGCAGAGTATAAACATTTAAGAGACTGTGTCAGGCATGAGGGCCAGAGCTAACTAGCATGGTACATACCTTTACGACTGGCAGTTTGTCAAGCCACTTAAGTGTCCCCTTAACAGAATTTACGGTCATTTGAAAAGTGACAATACTCAAAAACGGGTACTTTTCTCTCGCTGCTCCTGTGCAGCCCACTTAAACCCTGTCATAAATCTAGCCTCATATCCAGGCAGATGGCTCGTGTTGTCAGATATATCACATGCCAACAACGCTTTTTACCATCATTGTCTTGACAGAAATATGATGCGGAAACTGCAGTGTCACATCACTTAACGTGGTTTAGCCGAAGTCGCCTGATGCCATTTTAATCAATCAAATTTGTCATTTTTTACTGTAATGATCTTATGGTAGGGACCCAGCATTAAGGGGATGTGAAGAGACTTATCTATTGCTTGATTTACGACAATACTCACAGATTTTGAACTGGGGACTCAGTCTTCCGAGGAACGGCATTTTTATCAAATGGACCAGTACGCTATGAAGTCATCCCTCTAGGCCAAATGGAAATGCCACTCCTTACCTCCAACACAGACTCAGTTCTGTAATGAAAACTCAATGCTGTTAAGCACACACACACACACACAAACATCAAACCAGCCACAGTTAAAGCTGTATATATATATATATATATATATATATATACAAGATTCAACTTTTTTAATCAGTTTAATCTAATTCAAGTTGAAATGATTTAAACATTCATGTTTATTGTTTACTTGACGATTTAAGGCAGCAACTTTGTTTACTGTGTCAATACTGTATTGTGAAAATTGTTGAATTTAATTTAATTTCCTAAAGCTGTATTGTTTTTTTCTCATTCAGAAAATTCTAATGAAAAAAACAAACAAAAAAACAAATGAGCAAGTAGACGCATGAGGCAATGACAAATCAAAGTGTCCACAAAAAAAGAAAAAGGACACATTTAAAAAACAACAACAACAACAAAAACAAAAACATTAACATCTAAAACATGTGTATCAAGCTATTATAATCTCTTAATTGTTCTTATTGGAATCTCTATGTTGATTTTGAAAAATGTACAATTAACGTACAAAAAGTTTCAAATATTTATTTAAAAAAAAAACATTATTTGTATTCATAAAATGTATGAATTGTATCCCAATGCATTTTTTCATAAATTTACAGATCTGTACAAAACAACTGGTGACAACCACAAGTAAAAAGCAATAGATTTTTTGTTGTTTTGTTGTGGTTAATTCCTCTAGTTAAATGTCACAATCTGTATAATTTATTAAATAGTAACTTTTGCCTTGTAAATCTCAGACACAAGAGTAAAAATGTTGATATGAGGTTACCCACCATCAATGTCAGCTGGGTTTTAAAAGATAGAATCTAATGTAGATCACATTCATGGAAAAGCCAATATAAGCACCATTGCCACACAGCTCTTAATGAACTTTGCTTCTGATGCCAAGTTCATCATTATTTTTTATCACCATGTTTATTTCCAAGTTGACCTTTATACTAATTAGAGTTTGACCCCGAAAAGCCGACTCATTTCTGCCTTCACACTCAGTCAAGGCTAAACAAAGGTATTATGCCTTTATTCCCAGGGAGATGAATATTGGAATTTTCTAAAAGAGCAACCCATAGAGTAACCTATTACAAAACTATACACAATCAATAGCTAATTTCTCTGCATTGATTACTGCTTGGACATTTAACGCACACCCTCTGGCAAGTCATAGTGTGTGTGTGTGTGTGTGTGTGTCCACTCCCTATTGGCTCTGTGAGTATTACATTCATTGATTCCAAGAAGAGGACTAAAAATGCCAAACTGTTCATTTATCTTAATAAAGATTGCTTAAGATCAGATCTGTCTCTCTTTGCTCTGGGCAAGGATACAATTCATGTAGCAGAACAAATATGGATCTACTACAGATTATGACCTGTGGCTTGGTCATAACATTAACCTTTCTTCTTTCTTTCTTTTTTTTTTTTTTTTTTTTTAATTTGAGGTTAGAAAGTGTAAATTGCAGGTTAACCACCACAACCAAATGTGTAAATTAAAGTGCTCGAATTTGTATATATTTAAACATTTCTGTCTTAAAATGCGTTACAATGACAGTTATTGGGGTTTCAAATTGTAGCATGTTTTTGACAGTAATTGGGTGGTGACGTCAAAAGTAGCAACCCATAGCAACCCAATTGTAATTGTTTCCCAGACTGTGTGTGCGAAGGACGCCTTCAACAACACGTATGCCTTCGTCAGAACTCTGAAGGATGGAGACCTGCAGTACTGCGAGTTTGCAGACAATGAGTCGTTTGTAGAGGTGTACAAACCTGACGGCAGATCCCCATCTGCTGGAGAAATTGTGAAGAAGGTCGATCTTTCCCTTCTGCAGATCATGAACCAAAGGCTGATCAAGCTGCAGTCCTGCATGGGAAACGGCTGTCGAATCCTCAAATAAGTCCAGCTCGAGCGGAGAATGCCAAGTTCAGTCATGTGAAGATGTGTCAGGGTTTTCACTTGCACAAACCTCTCCTGAATTTTTTTTAGTTTGGTTGCTGAAATAGCAACCCAAAAGGCAGCGTTAGTGCTATGGGACCATCAAAGATGATGGTGACATCATTGGAGAGCGTGCTCGTCTATAATTCTATGCTGTTTCCAATTGGCTTTATGCACAGCTGCACTACTTCCTGAACTTAAGCCAGCTCCTTGTTTCATGTCTGGCATTATTGGACAAATTGATTAATCCAGGTGTGCCTGACCTAAGTCACGGCAACAATAATCAGACACACCTGAATTAATCAAGTTCGGCCAATAATTGCAGACAGGAAACAAGGAGCTGGCTTAAGTTCAGGAAGTAGTGCAGCTGTGCATAAAGCCAATTGAAAACAGCATTTACAAGCAAACAATAAATAGCAAACTACTACTTAAACAACAAAAAAATAGTGCCCATTAAAGGTTCTAATATTAAAGGCTGCCTGTAATATTCGTTTGAATATCATTATTTTTTTTTAAATATTCGAATTATATTCGAATAACAAAGTTCGGAGTCAAATAAACCCCCACTTCAGGGGTCTGTACCATGATAGTAGTCGAACAAACTCAGGGTTGCAGGATTAGTTTCGAGTTGACAAAACCAAACCAATCCAACCAGGCTTTGTTGGTACCATGATGCTGATCATCAACTTTCTCTGTCAACTCAGGCTTTGATCCTGAGTTAAGGAGTTTAGGTATGACATCAGTAGCAAACAGCCAATCACATGCTGAGAAAGAGTGAAACTCATTTAAAACTCATTGAAATTAATTTATCGCGAGAGAAGCAGCGCAATTCACGTATTAAATAAAAGTATTAAAATATTAAGAAATTAAACAAATTTACACAGCAAGAAGAAAATAGCTGTCTATGAAAGAGGACAACTAAAAGAAAGTCTCGCTACTGTATATCAGTGCAAGTAAAAGTTGTGAAGTTAGTTTATGTTGATGAAGGTATAGAGAGAATTGAACATTTAAGCTCACATGTAGTCATTTTATAGCTTCATTTATTCATTTTAAAGCGTATTTATATTACCTTTATATACGTACCCATTTAAAATCTGCATAATAATAATTGATGAACTGTAATTAGATTGTTTTATAATAATTACAGAAATAATTTCTAAATCATACAAATTGATTTACTAAAAGCCATGTGTGGTATGGGGGGCGTGGTTCAGCGCTGTCTGCAGCGGGAGAGCGGGGGAGGAGTCGAGCGGGAAGTAAGCGGGTCAAGTGCAAATGATAAACACCTGTCTGTGATTGCAGTGATTGGCGTTGGGAGAGTATATAAGCGGCTCAGTGAGACGCTTCTTTTGAGAGAGTCTGGAGCTTGTGTGCAGACACCGGGAGCTGGAAAGCTGTGAACAGAGGAACTGTCCGAAACCCAAGGAAGCTGTGGATCAGCGGGAACGAGTCTGTGATATTATTTTGTTGATGTTACGTTGAAGCGCGCAGTCGCTGTGAAAAGAGTATTTTTATTTGATCTGTCTGAATAAAGCACACAAGCTCCAGTATTGGCCGACCCCTTTGCCTTCTTCCATCACATCGTCTGAACCTTACCACACTGGTGCCGAAACCCGGGATGGAAGAAGCAGCCGCCGCCAGGAATCCTCTGTCTTCGCCATTTGCGGAGATCATCCAGGGGCTCGCGGGCTTGCATCAGCAACACCAGGCAGCCCTGTTGAAGATGGAGGAGCAGCAGGAACGACGCTTCGACGCGCTCCTCCAGGAACAACGGGAGGCCCGCGAGCAGTTCCGGAGCTGGGTGGACCAGGGGGTCCGCTCCCCGCCCGCGGCCCCAGCCCTCCACAAGATGGGGCCGCTCGACGATCCGGAGGCCTTCCTGGACCTCTTTGAGAGGACGGCCGGGGCGGGGAAGTGGCCGGAAACTGACTGGCCGCTGCGCCTCATTCCACTACTGTCCGGGGAGGCGCAGCTCGCCGCCCAACAACTGCCAGTCAGCAGCCTCCTGGTCTACCAGGACCTCAAGCGTGCCATCTTGCAGCGGGTCGGTCGATCTCCGGAGCAAAGCCGCCAGCGGTTCCGTTCCCTAGAGCTGGGGGAGGTCGGCCGACCCTTCGTCTTCGCACAGCAGCTCCGGGACGCCTGCCGCAAATGGCTGGTGGCCGAGGGCCGCGACGTCGAAGGAGTCATCGAGCTGGTGGTGCTGGAGCAGTTTATCACTAAGCTACCAAGAAAACCGCTCAGTGGGTCCAGTGCCACCGGCCGACGTCGCTGGACCAGGCCATCACGTTGGCGGAGGACCAGCTGGTGGCGTGCCCAGGGGTCGGCGAGCCCCAACCATCATCTTCTCTCTCTCTCTCTCTCCCCTCTCCCTCTCCCTCTCGCCCTGTCCCCGCTCCCAGGTCTCGAGGTGGATTTCCCCCGCGACCAGCACCCCGCTGGAGGTCCGGCCCGAGCACGGAGGCGCCCCGTGCTCCACCTCGGGGAGGATCCCTGCCTGGAGCGTTCCGGCGTCCGCTGGCCCCGCGCTCTCCCAACGCCAATCCCTTGACCCGCTTCCCGCCGCCGGAGTGGCGGGGAGGCCTGGGCCGGCCTGTTGGCGTTGTGGGGACCCGGGGCACTTTATCGACAGGTGTCCATTGATGGAGGTGGACACCTTCATTCGGGTCCCCTATGCGCCACAGGCTGCCCCCGATCAGACTGGGCTGTATCAGATACCCGTGAGTATTAAGGGGGTTACGTGTCAAGCTTTGGTGGATTCAGGTTGTAACCAGACCTCCATCCACCAAAGCTTGATTCAGCCAGGGGCATTGGATAAGAGCCGCGAGGTTATGGTGCGGTGTGTGCACGGCGAGGTGATGGGGTATCCCGTCGTGCCAGTCATCATCCGATTTAGGGGACAAAAACATAGTGTGGAGGTGGCAGTTAATCCGCACCTCCGGCACCCGCTGATTTTGGGTACCAATTGGCCGGGGTTTCAATCGTTATTGGCTTGTTTGTGTGCGGGTGCTCCTGGGAAAAAACAACGGCACCGGGGGGGGGCGACTGTTCAGGCCGGCGAAGCTGTTCCGGGACCATCGGCGGCTGATCCAGAGGAACGGAACGGGGCCGAGATACCCATCTTTTCGGTCCGTGATGATTTTCCTCTGGAACAGTCCCGAGATGATACGCTAAAAAACGCGTTTGAACGGGTCCAGGTCATCGACGGGCAGCCGGTGCGGCCCGATCAGCCGCTCACGTACCCATATTTTGCCATGATTAAAGATAGGTTGTATCGGGTGACTCAGGACATCCAGACAAAGCAAGATACAACCCAGTTGTTAGTACCTAAAAGCCGTCGGGAAATGCTTTTCCAGGCGGCTCATTCTAATCCGATGGCTGGACACCTCGGGCAGACAGCCACGTTAAATCGTTTAATGGCCCGATTCTTTTGGCCGGGCATTCATGAGAATGTGCGCAGGTGGTGCGCGTCTTGTCATGAATGTCAGTTAGTGAACCCTCCGGCCCATAGTAAAGCACCATTGTGCCCCCTGCCGTTAGTCGAGGTCCCCTTCGAGCGAATTGGCATGGACCTCATCGGGCCATTAGAGCGATCAGCACGGGGGCATCGCTTTGCATTAGTCCTGGTGGATTATGCCACGCGATACCCTGAAGCAGTCCCACTACGCAATATTTCGGCTAAAAGCGTTGCGAGTGCGCTGTTTCAATTAATCTCCCGGGTGGGAATCCCAAAAGAGATTCTCACCGATCAGGGCACGGCGTTTATGTCACGTACGATACGCGAACTATATGAATTATTGGGCATTAAATCGATTCGCACCAGCGTCTATCACCCACAAACCGACGGTCTGGTAGAACGATTTAATCGCACGTTAAAATCCATGATTCGTAAGTTCGTGCGGGAAGACGCCAAAAATTGGGATAAGTGGTTGGAACCCCTCTTGTTCGCTGTACGGGAGGTCCCCCAAGCCTCCACGGGGTTTTCCCCCTTTGAGCTTCTCTATGGACGCCAGCCCCGCGGGGTTTTGGATGTCCTTAGGGAGGCTTGGGAGGACGGACCTTCTAATAGCAAAAACGAAATTCAGTATGTCCTGGACCTGCGAACAAAACTCCACACTTTGGGGCGGCTCTCTATGGAGAATTTGTTACAGGCTCAGGACAGACAAAGTCGGCTGTACAATAGGGGGGCTAAGCTACGTAAATTTGCACCGGGAGATAAAGTGCTCGTATTACTTCCCACATCCAGCTCGAAATTACTCGCCAAGTGGCAAGGACCGTTTGTGGTTACACGGCGAGTTAATGATCTTAACTATGAAATCATTCGTTCAGATAGGGGGGGAGCACATCAGACATACCACCTCAACCTCCTTAAAAAATGGAATGAGGTGGAGTCAGCGATGCTGGCGACGGTGGTGAGTGGGGAGGAGGATCTCGGGCCAGAGGCGAATGTAAAAGTGCAATCCCGCCCTCTGGCCGCTTGTGGGGACCACCTCTCACCGTCCCAGATCGCTGACATCCAACAGCTACAAGCGGAATTCGCAGATGTGTTCTCACCCCTCCCTGGCCGAACGAATCTCATACAGCACCACGTTGAGACGGAGCCGGGCGTGGTGGTTCGCAGCCGGCCATATAGATTACCTGAACATAAGAAAAAGGTAGTTCAGGATGAATTAGCGGCGATGCTGGATATGGGGGTAATAGAGGAATCCAACAGTGACTGGGCAAGCCCGATAGTTTTAGTGCCTAAAACCGACGGCACCGTCCGGTTCTGTGTGGATTACCGCAAGGTGAATGCTGTATCGAAGTTCGATGCATATCCAATGCCCAGGGTTGACGAGTTACTCGATCGGCTAGGCACGGCTCGGTTTTATTCGACACTGGATTTAACGAAGGGATATTGGCAGATCCCCTTATCTCCAATGTCCAAAGAAAAGACTGCTTTCACGACGCCGTTCGGATTACACCAATTTGTCACCCTTCCGTTCGGTTTGTTCGGGGCACCCGCCACCTTCCAGCGCTTGATGGACCGGATTCTACGGCCGCATGCTGCATATGCTGCGGCGTACTTGGATGACATTATCATCTATAGTAACGATTGGCCGCGGCATGTGCAGCATTTGCGAGCGGTTCTCAAGTCGCTGAGGAGGGCGGGGCTCACGGCCAACCCGAAGAAGTGTGCGATTGGGCGCGTGGAGGTCAGGTATCTGGGCTTCCACTTGGGACACGGACAGGTGCGTCCCCAAATTGACAAGACCGCCGCGATTGCGACCTGTCCGAGACCCAAGACCAAAAAGGAGGTTAGACAGTTCCTGGGGCTGGCAGGATATTATAGGAGATTTGTGCCTGATTATTCGGACCTTGCTAGCCCGCTGACTGATCTAACTAAAAAGGGGGCGCCAGATACCGTCCAGTGGACGGAGCAATGCCAGCAGGCTTTTACCCAGATAAAGGCAGCTCTGTGTGGCGGCCCGCTCTTACAGGCTCCTAACTTTGCTCTTCCCTTTTCTCTGCAGACAGACGCGTCGGACAGAGGACTGGGGGCGGTCTTGGCCCAGGAGATGGAGGGTGAGGAACGGCCGGTGCTGTACATCAGTCGCAAGCTCTCCAAGAGAGAGACGATGTACAGCACCATTGAGAAAGAGGCGTTGGCCATCAAGTGGGCTGTCCTCACCCTCCGCTATTATCTCCTGGGTCGGGAGTTCACCCTGTGTACGGACCACGCTCCCCTGCAATGGCTCCACCGCATGAAAGATGTCAACGCGCGGATCACTCGTTGGTATCTAGCTTTACAACCATTCAAATTCAGAGTGATCCACAGGCCGGGTGCACAGATGGCTGTGGCTGACTTTCTCTCCCGGAGGGGGGGGGGGGAGGCTGCAGGCCGGACGGCTCCCCGGCCTGAGACGGGCGGTGGGGGTATGTGGTATGGGGGGCGTGGTTCAGCGCTGTCTGCAGCGGGAGAGCGGGGGAGGAGTCGAGCGGGAAGTAAGCGGGTCAAGTGCAAATGATAAACACCTGTCTGTGATTGCAGTGATTGGCGTTGGGAGAGTATATAAGCGGCTCAGTGAGACGCTTCTTTTGAGAGAGTCTGGAGCTTGTGTGCAGACACCGGGAGCTGGAAAGCTGTGAACAGAGGAACTGTCCGAAACCCAAGGAAGCTGTGGATCAGCGGGAACGAGTCTGTGATATTATTTTGTTGATGTTACGTTGAAGCGCGCAGTCGCTGTGAAAAGAGTATTTTTATTTGATCTGTCTGAATAAAGCACACAAGCTCCAGTATTGGCCGACCCCTTTGCCTTCTTCCATCACATCGTCTGAACCTTACCACACCATGATTTTGTCTTTTAAAATAATTTGCTGTGGAGTGACTTTATTGCGTCATACATGTGTCACTTTGCTCACAGCTGATTAGTCCAAGTTCGGTTTGCAACCTCTTACCTGGAACATTACCTGCCCCGGATCAGGTTAGCCGTGGAGTGTAAGTTACTATGGCGATGAACACTGCTAAAAGCCAAACCACTTTCATGGTACCTAAAACACAGGGTTGGCACAAACTAAACTGAAACATATATCGGGCTAGCCACCTAAAACCGGCTTCATGGTATAGGCCCCTGGACACTAAGTGCCAATTCATTTAGAGATAAAACAGTTATTTTAAATTATCATAATGTTTCACAATATTGCTGTTTTTACAAACTTTTGAATGGAAATGTATTTATAAAATGTTAATTATTTTGATTATTATTATTACTATAAAAATACTGTGAAATTGTATTATTAAAAAAAAAAAAATTCTATTATATTTTAAAATGTCATTCCAGCGATGGCACAGCTGAATTTTCAGCTTCATTACTCCAGTCTTTAGTGTCACATGATCCTTCAAAAATCATTCTAATATGCTGATTTGGTGCACAAGAAACTTTTATTTTTAACTTTACTATTATCAATGGTGGAAATATTATTGTGGAAATATTTTTAATATTTTAATATTTTTTTTTTGTGGAAACCAGGATACATTTTCTCAGCATACATTACAGGTAAAAAATATATTAAAAAGTAAATTGTATTACTATTAATATCTTGCTGAATAAAAGAAAGGTAGTGATCTTTTTAAATGAGATATGCTATAAAAAATAGTGATGTTATGGATATAAAGTAGCCTATTAGATGAACCTTGAGAGGTTATTTATGATGGCATATTAGTTACGTCTCACCTAGATGTCCACTTTCAATAGAAAATATGTCAACACGGCAAATAAAACCAGAGCCTGTCAAGCAGTTTCGTCAGTAGTAAGCTTATATTTGTGGATAGAGACATCTAGTTATGAACCAAACCATTAGGATCTCTAGACCTAGACTCAGTTTCAGGTTCTCTGGATTCAATAGTTGATTTATTTATCTTTTCCAGTTTTTTTTTTTCATGACAGAATTCTTATGGTAAAATTCTTATGGTAAGTAAATTCAAGGCTTAAACAGACCAATCAAGGACACAAATGCAAAATTATGCCTAACTAAGACTAACTAAGAACAACAAAATTGTCCACAAGATTAAAGGCAGATATGGCACCACCTAGTGGTTGAGAGTTCAAAATCATCTAATTTTAAAACCAGACTTGCATAGGTCAGTACATTTCATTCACAAAAGCAAATCAAATTCCCAAATGCACAAGCATGAAACATAAGAAATGTAAAAATAATGATAATAATTAAAAAAAATAATTAGATATTATTTAAAATTTACTCAAAACAAATATAATACTCACAATACATACTAGGAAAATACTCACTTTATTTAGAAATGGGTGAAATCATATGAGTCATGAAATGTCCTCCTGATTTTAAAGTAGAAGAACAAAGATTCTATAAACTATTTTAAGAATATTATTTTGATAACATTAATTTAATTCAATGTAAACAGTTAGGCTACCCTGTTGCTGATAGTAGATTTAAATAAATGCCTTTGTTATTATTATTATTATTATTATTATCATTATTGATATTGTTAATAATAATAATCATATATAACATTTTTTATACACCATTAAAGATTGTAGAGCATGTGTCAGTGTCAACGGGACAGTAGTTGGCAGTTTTTATTTTGAAAAAAAAAAAAAGAAAGAAAAAGAGAACCGGAAGTGATGATATCACTGCAGCTTCTGACACAAATGCAGAAAACAAGGCTGAAAATAACAAAACGGGCGGTATGTGCGTGTGCCTAAGGTACGGAATACGCCAGAATTCCAAAGAAGAAGATGCATATCAATCGTCTTCTTTGGACTTCTGGCATAGGTGTTAGGCTATGCTATGCCTATGTCAACCTCAAAGCTAAACCAGGCAATAGTAAGAAGCGTCAACCACGCCCTCAACCTGTGCTAAGAAGAATGCTGTGCTGAAGCCCCGCTTCACCTTCGAGAACGAGAAGACTAGACCACCTGCAGTTTGTAAACATACATAAAAACAATGTCAAGATCAATCAAAGAGCTTATTCTCCATTACGACCCAATTAATGAAAGCAATATTTTTACTAGTGGGGACATTGTGGAGGGGCGAGTTGTTTTGGAAGTGACCAAAGAAATAAAGGTGGAAACACTTTTTGTGAAGTTCACGGGAGATGCGAACGTGAGCTGGACTGAACAATCCGGTGAGGACGAAACAACCTACAGCGACCATGACCGATACTTCAAACTAAAGCAATACTTCATTCAAGAAAGCTCGAAAAAAGGCAAGTTGCACAAAATATTAATATAAGTAATAACTGTTAGGCTACTTGTAAAATGTGTACAGCATGCTCATTGCAACACAAAATGCTCATTGTGAATTTACAAATCAATGTAGATTATTCTTCTAAATAAAAAAATATCTCTCTCTCTCTCTCTCTCTCTCTCTCTCTCTCTCTCTCTCTCTCTCTCTCTCTCTCTCTCTCTCTTTTGTGTGTGTGTGTGTGTGTGTAAGATTGTGTAATATAACTGACTTCTTCTATTTCTTACTGTGATGTCTAAAGGACAAAGTGAAAAGAAGACCACTCTTGTAAGTGGAGAGACTTGTAAGTGATGAGTTTCCATATATACCTTGCAATAATAAATAAATTACGTAAAACTAAATGACATTTCATTTTTTGACATTCATGTTTGTTGACATTAGACTAATTATGCTTGCTGAATAAGGAACTTGCACAACTCTCTTTAACCCATAGCCTACATGCCTTATGTTTCACAGATGGACCAGTGATTAAACCAGGAAGTCATGTTTTTCCGTTCAGATTTCAGCTGCCTCAACAGTGAGTGATAAAACACAATCCATGGTACTTCAATGGTAGTTGTTCTTTGTTGTGTAATTATGTGAACACTGAATAGTTAAAAAATAATAGCTGATAAACACAATATAAAGAAGAACATAAAGAATATATATATATATATATATATATATATATATATATATAATTTTTTTTTTAGCCGATGACCTCTGGTTGAGTTGGCACAGAATGACCCTATAAGCAAAACTGACCCCTGCATCATCGTCTTCTGAAAAAGCAGATGTCAGTCATATTCATGGCTCATTATTCTGCATTATTCCATTTAATAATATTCTGGATATGTTAATTGAAAAAAAAAGTTGTAAAGCATATTATAAGCAGGTATGTTAACAGTTATTTGGAATAAATTTAAACGAATTGGTTACCTAACGTAACCTCGGTTCTCTCTAGATGAGGGAACGAGTATAAAAGATTCACCTTTTCTGAGAAGTTGAAGCCAAAAAATTATCCTATAATTTGTATCCATTGTCAACGCAGTTCAATTGCAGCAGACCATGAGCGGGCTAGCTAGCGGCTCATTGGTTCGCTCACAGAGAACTGCTACAGCGTATGGGAGAGCGGCCAATGAGAAGCGACACGCCCTCGTCGTGGCGTCATAGCCCACCAGAATGGGCGTGGCTCGAGTGTATAAAAATCCAGCCCGGACGCTGTTAAGGTGGTTTTTCAGAGTGAAGCGAAAAACGCTAGAAGTGCAAGCACGGCCGGGAACGCAATACTCGTTCCCTCATCTAGAGAGAACCGAGGTATCAAAAAGGTGGCGCCGGTGTATGTGGCATGCCGTCTGACGTCTCTGCTTGTTTGTGTTATATGTGTGTTTTTATCTGCTTCAAACTGCTACTCGCTTCTGGTTTATGATCGCCAGTTACTTCTGGATATTCGAGACTCTTTTGTGGCCACATTCAACCCAGAGTCTAAAAGCTCTGTGGCTGGACCACAATCATGCTCTCAGCTGTACAATGTCTGCACAGCTGGCCCACTGGGGTTCCCCGCAGAAAGCGCCGCAGGAGACGTGGCAAGCGCGGAGGGATTGCTGTCAAACTGAAAATGACTCTACTTGCCGGCCGCGCGTCTAGCTTCGTCTCCATGACAACGTGGACTTCAGGCATTGGCCGATGTGCTGGTTGGCGTTTGATCGATCCACCTGTTCGCTGGCTTCGGACCATTCTCCCGGATTTTACTTCAACGATCCCCTGCTACCCTCCTATCCGTGTTCGTCGTGGTGGAGCTACTCTAGAGAATCTTCGTTCTTTTGAGAGAGTTCTCTCTCCCGCGATCTCTGACTCGGTATCACCTTCCAGGATGGCTCTGATTAATGCTCGGTCGCTAGTCAATAAGACGTTCATTTTAAATGACTTTTTCACTACCCACGCACTGGACTTTATGTGCATCACAGAAACTTGGATGAAGGTTGGTGATTTAAGTCCTTTTGCTGAGTTGATTCCGGAAGGCTGTACATTCTTTAACTCTCCCCGCTCTTCTGGACGCGGGGGTGGTCTAGCGGTAATTTTAAAAAACAGTTTTAGTAGCTACTGTCACTCTGTTCCGTCTAGCACATTCTACAGTAGCTTTGAAGTACAGCTGCTGCGCCTGGAATTTGACGATCCTGTTTTGTTGTATCGCCCCCCTCAATTTGAATTTACTGCTTTTGTGTGTCTCTGTCCATGGAGTCATCCTTACCCGACTTGGATGCTGATGAACATCTTAGTCTGTTTAATACTGTATGCTCTGTGGTTTTAAAAACCACTGCTCTTTTTTAAAAGCTAAGAAGTCAAAACCTAAGACTGAACCATGGCTTAATGATACCATCCGCTCTCTGAGGCGAGCATGTAGAAGAGCAGAACGTAAATGGAAAAATGATAAGCTACAAATTTCTTATGAATTGCTGAAAAAAATCAGTGTTTTCACTGATTTCACTGAAAAATCACTCCCTCTGTGTTTTTCAGAAAGCTATGAAAACTGCTAAGTCTAAGTATTTTTCTAATTTAATTTAAAAAAATCATCATATAGTTCAAAAGCCTTATTTTCGGTGTTAAAGTCTGCTCTCAATCCCCCTATAACTGTGATCTCAAATCCTTCAGTATCATTATGTGAAGGTTTCTCAAGGTTTTGTGTGAGATCACCACCTCTCTAAGATCCCAGCTGCAATCACCTGCTAATGTCTTGCCTGAACTTGGCTGTTCCTCACCCATATGGAGTGTGTTTGACCCTGTTTCTCTCCTATCTCTCAGAGAAATTGTTGATCATTTGAAACCTTCCTCCTGCTCTCTTGATGTGCTCTCTCCCCGTATCCTGAAACAAACTTGGAACATGGAATTCGGTTGGAACATGTTTGGTGTCTCTTATAAATAAATTCTTGAGCACAGGGACTATCCCTGATACACTAAAACAAGCTACAGTTACACCTCTGCTCAAGGAACCTTCTCTCAATGTTAGAGATTTTAATAATTTTCGACCTATTTCGACCCTTCCTTTTATTACAAAAGTATTGGAGAAAACGGTTCTCAATCAACTCCAATCTCATCTTAGCACAAATCACATTCTTGAAACTTTTCAGTCTGGTTTTAGGCCTCTGCACAGCAGAGAGTCTGCTCTTTTAAGGGTTTCTAATGACATACTGTTAGTGACCGATGCTGGTGACTCTGTGATCTTAATACTGTTTGACTTAACCTCGGCCTTTGATACAGTTGACCATAAAACTCTATTATCCCAACTAGAATACTCTGTGGGCATCCAGAGAACTATCCTCAGCTGGTTTAGATCTTATCTTACAAATAGAACTTTCTCTGTCAAACTGGGTAACTTTTCTTCCTCCCCAGCCCAACTCTCTTGTGGAGTGCCACAGAGGTCTATTCTTGCACCCATTCTATTTTCCATATATTTGCTTCCTCTGGGCTCCATTTTCAGAAAGCATGGTGTATCATTTCACTGCTATGCAGATGATATACAAATTTATTTCCTTCTGAAACGCAGTAAAGAGACTGCTCTAAAATCTCTTTTGCATGCCTAGAGGAAGCAAAAATGTGTTTTTCTCAATTTCTTATTTTTGAATGAATCCAAGACCGAGGTTATAGTCTTTGGCCCCCATGACAACTATGATAGCAACAACATTGATCTGGACTATCTTGATCCAAAGTCATCTTGCATTAAAGGGTTAGTTCACCCAAAAATGAAAATTAAGTCATTAATTACTCACCCCCATGCTGTACCAACCCCGTAAGACCTTCGTTCGTCTTCGGAACACAAATGAAGATATTTTTGATTAAATTTGAGAGCTGTATAACTACCACATAGGCTCCTAAAGGGACTGCCTCTTGACGGCCCAGAAAGTCAATGAAGAAAATGTTTAAATATCCCAAGTGACTACCGTGGCTCAACTATATGTTTATCAAACGACGAGAATACTTTTTGTGCGAAAAAAACAAACAAAAATAACAAGTTTATTCGACTATTCCTTTTCTTCCTTGTAGGCCAGAAACGAGACTTCCTTAGATTTCCACGACGCATGCGCGAGAACTGAACTGAAGTAGTGTAATGAGATCGCAATTCTCGCGCATGCGTCGTGGAAATCTAAGGAAGTCTCGTTTCTGGCCTCGTTTCTAAGGAAGTCTCGTTTCGCCCTGAATGTTGCACACAGCTGGCTGGACACAGCGTGTGGGCACGCTTAGAGTGTTTATGGCAACAGGACTTACACTCAGAGAGGAGTTTATGAGCCGTGTAACAGAGAGCGGGCAGAGGGGGGACGCGCACACAGGGTCGTGGGGGCGCTTATGCACTCTGATACTTGAGCGGGCTGTGTCCGCTTTGTGGGGGTGGGCTCTGAGAGATACACGGGACGTGGTGCTTATGTATACGGGTAAACACAGGGATGTGGGCACATTTTTTACACGAGGCTTTTTTGCTCTTTTTGAGATTTCTCTAAGTCGCCGTGAAAACGTTTTTGTGCTCGCAAGCGGACGGAGAGACCGGCTTGTTTGTGGCGGTGAAGACTGCTGTAGTCGGCGAAAGAATGGGGACTAACAGAGGGCGAAGCTTCGACGGCGGCCCAGCCACGGCGGGAGAGAGCCGTCGTTTTCTCAGCTGTGCTAGGCAGACTTCGGTTGATCGGGCCTCAGCGCGATCTTGGGTCGAGGCCCCCGGGGAGGCGGCTGTCTGCGGCGGCCGTCAGAGCGAGGGTGGCCGCCCTGTCTGCGCTGAGAAGGCTGAGCCTGCTGAGAGAGGCGCTGGGGTGGGGCTCGAGCAGGCAGCTGGTCACGGGAGCGGCCTGCAGCAGAGCTAGGGCGGCAGGGCAGAAACAAATTCATGGCCTGGGTGGCTTTTTGAACCTCGGAGAACCGGTCAACGATGCCTGTGACGGCGGATCCGAAAAGACCAGTCGGAGAGATAGGCGCGTTAAGAAAAGCGGCGCGTTTAGAGTCTCCCATGTCGGTGAGTGTAAGCTACAAATGTCTCTCAGACATGCAAAGGGCGGCCATGCATCTCCCCAGAGCCTGAGCAGCGGCCTTGGTGGCGCGAAGGGCAAGATCCGTAGCGCCCCTTAAATCCGAGACAGCAGGGGGGTTTTTACCGCTCTCAGCACACTCACGGAGAATGTCGCTCTGGAGAATATGGAGGACGGACATAGAGTGCAGCGCCGAGGTGGCCTGAAGCCAGAGGTTGCTCTGCAGGCTTTCGAAGGAAGCGCTGGAGAAGATCGCCATCTAGCAGAGGTGCGCAGCGACCAGGTCCTCGACAGGCGGAATAGCCGAATATGCCTTCTCGGCGGCTCCATCGGAGCGGCTCCATCGGAGTGGACATCGTAGCGGTTCGTAGCAGGACTTCGTGAGCTCGGCATGAAGTTCAGGCAGGAACGGAGCGGCCCGGTTGCCAGAAGGAGCAGAGCACCGGTGATAAAAGCTGGCGTCCATGCGGTTCGGGGCCTGCTTGCAATATATCCAGAGGGTGCAGATGACATGGCGATCTCCGTACTTGAGAGGAGAGCGGCAAGAACCGCAGGAAATGCGAGGCATCTTGAAAAAGACACTCACGCTCTTTAAGTAGAGTTTAGAAAAGGATACAACGTTGTCGGATGGCGCTAGCTTGCAGGACGGCTGAAGGTGGCGAAGACGGCCGGCTTCTTCAGAATCCTAGACGCTCGCTAGAGATGCCTTCTCGACGGCAACGGCTTCTTCTCGAACAGCGGATGCATGTAGCTCACTGAAGGATGAAAAATCACCTTAACAGCATCCGGGCTGGATTTTTATACACTCGAGCCACGCCCATTCTGGTGGGCTATGACGCCACGAGAGCGTGTCTTCTCTCATTGGTCGAGAGTTCAGCCCAGCACTCCTATACGATGTAGCAGTTCTCTGTGAGCGAACCAATGAGCTGCTAGTTAGCCCGCTCATGGTCTGATGCAATTCAAATGCGTTGACAATAGGCTATGTGCACAACCGTAGTTTCGAACTTCCGCTTTTGTCAGAAGTCGGCGTATCAGTTTCCAGTCTACGACTGGTCATCCGCATCCACTAATAAACAAACAAGATGAGTGCTGCTGTTGTACGAAAAAAAGAGTTCTTAAACACATCTAAGTTTCTTAGAACTGTAGTGGATCTAACCTCCGTTTCACACTCGTTTGCAGTGTGTGTTGCGGTGCAGGAGCGTGCTGTAAGTGCTTTCACATATTATGATGCGTTTGCACAGTGAATAACTGATCCGTGGCTGTACAACAAAAACATACTTAATATTTTTATTTAAAGTCCAGAAGTTATGCTGCAACTTATGTTTAAAAACAAAAAAGTTGTGTCAGCATTGCGATTCTTTGTATGCACGTTTAAACACAATCTAAACAATGTAAGTTAGGGCTATTACTCCATGCATTACAAGTTGTCAAATAATTTGTCTCAGTCAAATATTTCCTATATTAAAATCGCAAATAATTTAAATTAAAACTTGAAATTGACAAAAGCAGCCGACTTGCCTTTTCTTTTGCATCTTAATTTTAAAACAATAGATCTTGCATGTCACAAAACTTATTTTTCCTCCTTCACCTCCACGATCGAGACGAGTTCATTCTGTCGCCTGGTTGAAGTAAATTGTAGTTTTCCTTGATTAAATGTGCATTTATGGTGAGATTACTACATTTTATTTAATTAAACGCATTTATGGTGAAATTACTACATTTTCAGGTCAATCTTTATCATTTTGACCACCAGCGTTTGCAGCACAGGAGAAATAGATTCGGTGTGGAAACGATCGCTGTGCTGCTGTTATATGTACCACATCAGTGAGAAGTGAAAGCCCTAACCTGTTTACATGGTGCGTAGGAGACTGCTGTGCGGCACTTTGCTCGCTAACAGCCATTTGAGCTTCTACTGCTTCCTGATAAACACCAACCTTCGTGCGCAGTGGCTGCACAAAATAATAAAAATATTAAGTAAGTTATGTGTTTGTTGTACAGTTATGTGAACGCACTAACAGCACGCTCCTGCACCGCAACACACACTGAAAACGGGTGTGAAACGGAGGTTAGATCCACTACAGTTCTAAGAAACTTAGATGTGTTTAAGAACTCTTTTTTTCGTACAACAGCAGCACTCATCTTGTTTGTTTATTAGTGGATGCGGATGACCAGTCGTAGACCGGAAACTGATACGCCGACTTCTGACAAAAGCGGAAGTTCGAAACTACAGTTGTGCACATAGCCCATGGATACAAATTATAGGACAATTTTTTGGCTTCAACTTCTCCGAAAATATGAATCTTTCCCGTAGTGTAAGCTAGCTTACGCAATACGAGAGAACCTCTCGTAAGAGAACTTATCATACAGTAGCTATTGTTCAAAAAGTGCATATAGGACCATATCATGCACTATAATAATGTTTGTCAGTCTTTTCTGAAAACCAAAATGTTTATTTTACCTTAATTTCAGGAATATGCCTCCATCTTTTAATGGACAGCATGGCTCGGTTAAGTATGTGTTGATGGTAAAGCTGAAGAGGTCTTGGAAGCCAACATCTTCTACATGTACGGAAATAACCTTTTTGCCCAGGAATGATAGAACCAATGATCATTTACTGGTATGAATTATAATACCATGTTTGACTCTTTGGCATTCATCTTTTGATAAATACATTATGTAACTGCTTTTACTGTTATCAGAACTCATGTAACGTGATTTAAACTATTTGCTTGTGACCTAGATCTTATAAAAAATGTAATGTAATTTTAGTTGACTCATTTCAATGTTGTTTTTTTGTTTTTTGTATACATATACAGCAACCACAATCTGGCACAGAAGACAAGAAGATGAAACTTTTTGGCTCAGGAAAAATGGCAATGACAGTAACAGCTGACAAAACTGGCTATATGCAAGGTGATAACCTGTGTATCTCTTAAGCAACTCAGTAAAAGCTGCATAAACTGAAGACACTAGCCTGTTATGCCAATGGCAGGGTTTCCATCAACATATTTTAATGCACATTTTGAGATATTGCATGCAAATCCTGGATGTAAACAACAACATGCAAATGATTTCTATTGATATTTATCTCCAATTTCTCTGAATGTGGCTACTTTGTTCTCCTAAACCAAACTAAATGAAAACACTGCTTTATCTGCAAATAGGTTTTACAAAAATAAAATTTGCAACTTGGATGGAAAACGCTGCCATGGTAATTTTGTATTGTTTTTTTATTGTTGATAAATGTTGTCTCTAATTCCTTGCATTGCTGCAGGTGAAACAATCAGAGTTTCTGTTGATATTGACAACTCATCATCTCGCGACGTCAAGCTGAAGTACAGCCTCCAACAGAAACAGACCTTCTTTGCTGGCAGCAGAACTAATAACGCACTTAAGTATATAGTCAAAGAAACTAAAGATCGCATCCCATCTAGAGAAAAGACTAAATCTGCAGTGGACATAAACCTTCCATGTGACCTGACTGTCACCATTGAAAACTGCAGAATTATAAAAGTGCAGTACTATCTCAAGGTGCTATTTTATCTTCCTTATAGTATTGCTATTTTTAAAGAGATTTAAGTATTTAATTGAACTTAATCAATTTGACCGTTCACCTCCAAATTAAAATTTACTCACCCTCATGTCATTTTAAAACTGTACAACTTTTTCCTTTTTTTGGAACACTAAAGAAGATATTTTTAAACGACATAATGTTGAGTAAATGAAAGAATTTAAACAAAAGAAAATTGAAGTAGTAACTATTCCTTTAATTGTCACAAATTTCTCAAATGCTTACTAATTTGTGTGGTAAAAGAGACTAAAACAACATTGATTTTACAGCATATACAAGACTTTCTTACAAAGAATAAAGCAAAAATAAACTTTGTAACTTCAACACATAATTTTCACAGTTCGCTTGAACTATTCTGTACACAATTGTCTTTCAGGTCTATCTGGATGTGTCTTTTGCCTCGGATCCAGAAGTTATGTTCCCTGTGGTTATTCTTCCAGCTGACCAACGATGTCCTCCCTGGCAAGGCCCACCTGGGGGATTCCAGCCATATCCGCCGCCTCAGCCTAACCTTGTGCCCTATCCTGTTGGTCCACCACCTTCATATGCAGAAGTTTACCCCAATCTGAATGACCCTTCAGTCCTGCCCTATTCAGGAGCTGCTGCAGGGCTTTACCCAAATCCAAATGCCATGATGCCTGTTTTCTATCCGACTCCATCCGCACCAGTTTATGATCCAAATCAAAGCACTAAAGAATCCTCTCCTAATGTGCCTTATTAGTCTTGTTCACCAGAAAAACTTTATCTGCATGAATTCAAGCTTGGTGCCTATTATTGTGCCTCTTTAAAATTAGGACTGTTTTTAATTTAACAAGGAATGTACAGTATAAAAAAAGTTTTTGAGATTTATTTCAGATTTATTTGGCCTTTGTAGTTCACTGTTCAGTTTCCCCTTTTCCCATGTGCTCCAAAAACGCAGGTCTAAAAACTTTCACTATCCTTTATTGCAGTACAAAAACATTTTTACAAAATGTCTCTGACCACTGTTCCTAATTCGAGCAAGGAAGGTGGAGTGGGCTGCTAATGCCGACAATGTCCACTTTTTATGCTCCTTCATCCCATTAGGTGTAGGGCTGAGCAAATATGGGCATAAGTCTTTACTGCTCTATTGTAATGAAGTGCCTGGAAAGACTAGTTGCCCAGCACATCAAGGCCTGCCTCCCACCATCATTAGACCCTCACCAGTTTGCCTATAGGGCATCGCCATCATCCTTCACTCAACGTTGAGTCACCTCAAAACTCAGGCAGCCATGTAAGACTACTCTTCATAGATTTCAGCTCAGCCTTTAATACAATAATACTTTGGGCTTCCACCCCCCTCCCTCCACCTGCGCTTGGATAAAACACTTCCTCTCAAAGAGACCACAACAAGTTAGACTTGTTCATCATCTCTCAGAGGGTCATAGGTTCAGCCCAAAAGCCATAGGTTGCCCCCTTCCCTCCCTGTAAGAGCTTGCCAACTCCTTAATCGGACTAGATCTATTCTCGAAGACACTGTCCACCCTGCCCGACACTTGTTCAACCTGCTTCTTTTTTCCTCTGGGCCATACATTCACTGAACAAACAATAACCCTGTGAAATAAAGGTAATTCCTCCTTTCACTATCCTCCTGTCATGGCTCATTACCGACATGATCTCATCTGCAAACATTCTCTTTTTTTATGCTGAAACCTGCTGCTATGTCAAAACCTGATAATATTTTACAGATATGTGTGTGGGAGGGTGTGTGCTGAATGGGAGGGAGGGGAGTGTTTGTTTGTTTGTTATATTTATCTATTAGTACATATTTTATACTATACTTTTTTTCTTAAAGCACTGATCTGGAATTGTCCAAATTAACTGATCTGTAGTAGCACTTGAAATTTCGTTGTGTTACACTGTATTTATGCAATGACAAATAAAGCTTGGACTTTATTTTTTTTTTTATTTTGACATCACATCTACACTCACCTAAAGGATTATTAGGAACACCTGTTCCATTTCTCATTAATGCAATGATCTAATTAACCAATTAGGGGTGTGGTCCTTGTCAAGACAATCTCCTGAACTCCAAACTGAATGTCAGAATGGGAAAGAAAGGTGATTTAAGCAATTTTGAGCGTGGCATGAGTATTTGAGCATATTTGAATATTTCACAATCTGCTCAATTACTGGGATTTTCATGCACAACCATTTCTATAGTTTACAAAGAATGGTGTGAAAAATGGGAAAACATCCATTATGTGGCCGTCCTGTGGGAGAAAATGCCTTGTTGATGCTAGAGGTCAGAGGAAAATAGGTCGACTGATTCAAGCTGATAGAAGGGCAACTTTGACTCGTTACAACCGAGGTATGCAGGAAAGCATTTGTGAAGCCACGACACGCACAACCTTGAGGCGGAAGGGCTACAACAGCAGAAGACCCCACCGGGTACCACTCATCTCCACTACAAATAGGAAAAAGAAGCTATAATTTGCAAGAGCTCACTAAAATTGGACAGTTGAAAATGGTGTAAACAGAATGAGAACATGGATCCATCATGTCTTGTTACCACTGTGCAGGCTGGTGGTGGTGGTGTAATGATGTGGGGGATGTTTTCTTGGCACACTTTAGGCCCCTTAGTGCCAATTGGGCATCGTTTAAATGCCACAGCCTACCTGAACATTGTTTCTGACCCTGTCCTCCCTTTATGGCCACCATGTACCCATCCTCTGATGGCTACTTCCAGTAATGCACCATGCCACAAAGCTTGAATCATTTCAAATTGGTTTCTTGAACATGACAATGAGTTCACTGTACTAAAATGGTTCATTCACCACATTCACCAGATCTCAACCCAATAGAGCATCTTTGGGATGTGGTGGAACGGGAGCTTCGTGCCCTGGATGTGCATCCCACAAATCTCCATAAACTGCAAGATGCTATCGTATCAATATGGGCCAACATTTCTAAAGAATGCTTTCAGCACCTTGTTGAATCAATGCCACGTAGAATTGAGGCAGTTCTGAAGGCGAAAGGGGGTCAAACACAGTATTAGCACATTTTAATCTCCTTAAGCACTGTAAAATTTGGTCTGACATTTATGAATTTACATTTGTGAATATGAAATGTTGTTGTTTGTTTGTTGTAAAAATTGCTAGGTAGGATAGACTCTATGAATTATTTTATTAGATTTCCTTAACTTTATTTGTAAGGAGTAAGTTTTGGGGAAACAACCAAAGTTGTCTCCAATTTACATCATTAAGCACAAATAAAAGCCTGACAATGGAAAAATTTTCAGTTTTCTAATAATATAATTCACATATTAAAGTGTGGCAATAAATTAAATGTAACAATTATATTAATACTAATTAAATATACCAGCAGAGTTGCTTGATGCAAGTAAATGTTGTTCTAATTATTTTATGGTTTCTATGCTGTTTATGTGTATATAGGATATATACTCATGTAACATAGGCTATAGGCTTATATATATATATATATATATGCACTCTTAGAAGAAAAGGTTCTATCAGCGCTATGTATTTGGAACCCCTAAAGGTTCTATACACTCTTAAAAAAGGGTTCCTCTGGGTTCTATATAGAACCCTGGGGTTCCATACTTGGCCAATAGAACCTTTTACCAAAAAAAAATGGTTCTATATAGAACCATTTTGGAGTTACATATATAAAGCGGGGGATGGAACCATTTCTGGTTCTAAATAGAACCATTTCTTCTAAGAGTGTGGTAAATGGATTTAAATTCCAGAAGCCTGTAGAGTAGTGGCCTGGGTTTAAACGTTCCAACACGCAAAGTGAAACATTCACGTAACTAGAAAAAAAGAGCAGGACCTCCAGCAGAAAATAAAATATTCTCACAACATTAAAGATCCAACGGTATATTAAATTGTACACATGGATGCACCAAACCCATCTAGTGTGCCAAAAAGCGCATATTTTAGTTTCATCTGACCACAGAACCCTGTGCCGTTTGAAGTTGTCTGACAACTGAATATACTGGAGGATTATTCTTGAAACCCTCCCAAACAACATCATGTGGTGATGTAGGGGTTGTTTGATTTTTGCATATAGGCTTTCTGACCCCAAGACTCAACTAATCTCTGCAATTCTCCATCTGTGATCCTTGAAGAGTCTTTGGCCACTAAAACTTTCATTCTCACTGTCCATTAAAGTCATGTGACACTTTTTTTAACGTATTGCGTTCATAGAGCAAGCCTTTCACTGATTGTTTACAGCTCAGCGAAGCGTCATGGGGCGTAGGAATAAGGTGGATAAGTGAACTTTGAACTGAAAGATCTGTGCTGACCAGGTGTAGGAAGTGCCTCGCTCTCAAAACATTTTTTTTTTTTCGAAGCATGAACTTTGGCCCTCATGCTTCACCTATACGAGAATGGGAAGAGCAAGCCGGCTGTGTAGCTGTCTTTGAATGTAGTGTAGGCCTACGTTCACAGAAACAAAACATGTCAGGAATGGATCCATCAAAGAAGTGCGTCTTCATTTCAACAAGAATAATGAAAGCAATACTTTTACTAGTGGGGACATTGTGGAGGGGAAAGTTGTTTTGGATGTGACCAAAGAAATAAACGTGGGCAGTTTTTTTTTTTTTGTGAAGCTCACGGGAGATGCGAACGTTCACTGGACTGAACCAACAGGTTTTGACGAAACAACCTACCGTGACCATGACAGATATTTTAAACTAAATCAATACTTCATTCAAGAGAGCTCAAAGAAAGGTGAACATAAACACCTTACATGGACAATATAAAAGAATGACTATAAATGTATAGGCTACCTGTCAAAAGTATGGAAACTGCAATTTTAAATATTTTTGAAAGAAGTTTGTTTATTTGTTTATTTAACAGGATCCCCATTAGCTGACGCCTAGACGACAGCTAGTCTTCCTGGGGTCCAAACAATATATCAAAAGGCAATTATTACTTGAATAATTTTCTCAATTACTCACAAATATTTCATATATAAAATACACGTACAGATTTGAATAATAAAAAAACACACAAAAAAGCAAGCAAAAGTAACAATACAAAAAGTACTAATTAAGGTAAAAAATAAAAAAATAACAACATAACACATAATACAACTCACTCAACCAATCCAAACAATATTATAATAGTGAAAACAAATGCAGTCTAAGTCTTTTTTTAAAGCCAGTCTTTCCCTTGATTTCACGAACCCCAACTGGAAGATTGTTCCAAAATACAATTTACCTATAAAACACAGTCCTCTTCATATGGTCAGATTTAGGTAGGGGTAAAGAAATCTGTCGGCTATTTACCCCTCTTGTGTAATGTGAATGTATATCAGAACAATACATTATTTTATCATAAAGAAATGAAGGAATCCGAGTGTTAATAATTCTGTGAAAATATACTAACATATTAACAGGTAGTCTATCCTTCACCACCAGCCAAGCAAGACGTTCATGCATCTCTGCCACACTAGTTCTCGAAGAACAACCAAGAACCAGTCTTGCAGCCTTATTTTGCGCCACTTGTAATTTTTTTATATGACTGCTTGAAGCAGCCGACCATACAGCAGAACAGTAATCCAAATGACACAAAACCAATGTACAAGCAACACGACTAAGCAACTGTAAATTTAAAAACTGTGCACATTTACGCATTACTGCAACAGCTCTACCCATTTTAACAACAACTTTGTTAGTTGTCTCTTACGTATTTATTTCTTCAAAAGTACTGTGAAAACAGTAATATTGAGAAATATTATATATTTTTTCTATTTTAATACATTTTAAAATGTAATTTATTCATGTGATAAAGCTTAATTTTCAGCATCATTACTCCAGGCTTGTCACATGATCATTCTGTAATCATTCTAATATGCTGATTTGCTGCTCAAGAAACATTGTAATTATCAATGTTATAATGAGTATTATTTATTTATCTGTATATTCATAAACAGGAAATTATAAATCCTCATAGTGAACTTACAAACCAAAGTAGGGACAGATCCTTGAATAAAGAGCATTAAATAATACAGTTACAAGTATTTCTTGCTGTCTACAGGACAAGAAAGGGATGCCACACTTGTAAGTGGAGAAACTTGTAAGTAAGAGGTTTTTCATACAGATTTTAACAATTTCTGCTATTTAATAATAAGTTACATTTATTTATTTATTGAAATGTAGAGTAAATATGTAGTATACCCATCAGGAGTTCTTAATTTCAGAAATATGCCTGCTTCTTTTGAAGGATATTATGGTTGGGTTAGGTATGTCTTGATGGTAAAGCTGAAGAGGTCTTGGAAGCCAACATCAACTACATGTGGGGAGTTAACCTTTTTGCCCAGGAATGATTGGACCAGGGATAATTTACTGGTATGAATTATAATACCATATTTGACTCTTTGGTGCTCATCCATTGACAAATAGAGAGATTATGTAACTGCTTATACTGTTATCAGAACTCAAGTAATGTGATTTAAATGATTTGCCTTTAGAGGAAATGTAAGTCTGGTTCCCTTCCAAGCGAACTTGCGCTGCGTTGTTTGACGCTGTGGGAACGCTCTGCGTGATTACGTCTTGAAGCACATGTGAAATTAGTCCAATGGTGTGGCGGAACATCAGAGGTGGGTGACATCACTTACCTGGAAACTATAACGCCTGCCCAAACCAAGCAGCGCTAGCTTCTGTGTTGTCATTAAGCGCTATCTGTGAAACCGTTTATCTTTTTTGGTGGTGTTGTCTGTCTATCAGAAAAAAATAAAATAAAATATGAAATAAGTACAATATGATGGTATGGGGAAAAAAAACTTCTTGGTGGTGGTGGTTGGGAGGATGGAGGTGAATGTGCGCGTCATCTGCAAACTCAGACATGTGTAAGTGCCGATCTTTTATACCACAAGTAGTAGAACACAATTGGATAGATGAGAAGGTAATAAGTGACGTAACAATTGAG